TTGAAAAAGTAAAGCTAAACTGTGACATCACAGGAAGGCATCACCTGATTGACTGGAGATAATCGCTGCTGCTTTCATTCTCAGATTGTTAGGGAGTAAGTCTAAACAGCTTGGAGATTAAAAGCATTATAAGTTGTAAGCAAATCTTTTAGTTAGTTGCCCTACTTAACAGAAGGGAAGTGCAGCCAGCAAGTCTTCCCTTTCATCTTTAAATAGTAAAGTTTATTAGAATTAGTAATTGTAAGTTGTATCGGAGTGCAGTTTATTATCTAACAGATAGAGGAATAGCTGGGCTGTTCCAATCTGTACATTCGACATCCTAAGGTCTGTGGGAATTCCTGGCCACTTTCCATTTGTGCAGGAAGTGCCATTAGTTTCTTCAGGTTTTGGAACTTGTAATTAATGGCACTGCATCCATGAGGTTGAGAATTTTGTGGTTAGAACATTTAGAGATGTGGTCACCACACTGCTTAAGGGTATGCATGGAGATAGGGAATGGGTGACCATCAAGAAGCCAAGTAGGGAAAGGCAGACAGTGTTGGAATCTTCTGAGTGCACCTCAGTCTCCAACCAGTGTTCAGTTCTGAAAACTGATCAGTGATGGTTCCACTCCAGAGCCAGATCCATGTCAGCACAAACAGACTGGAAGAGCCTTAATGATAAGAGACTGGACAGATTAGGGAAAAGATCAATGTTTCCTCAGCCACAGATGTCAATCCAGATATAATGTGTTGTGTTCCCAGAGCCAGGGTCAGGGGTATTATTGGGCAGTTTCAGACAATGAAGCCTGAAAGGGAGAGTGAGCAGCCATTTGTCACAGTTCACATGAACAGAGGCAGAAAGAGGCATATGTCACCCTGCAGTGAGAATTTAGGGAGCTAGGTAGGAAACTAGCAAGTATACCTCCAAGTAGTAACCTACATTTTTTATTATTATTCATGGCATCATTGACTGGGACAGAATTTAATGCCTGTTCTTAGTTGCCTTTGAGAAGGTGGTGGTGAGCTGCCTTCCTGAAAGACTGCAGTTCATTTAGGTGCATTGTGAGTCATTTTACCTTTAAGAGATATACTCACGATATCATGTAGGACTGTGAACGTAATAGTTGTGATTATCAGTGAGCTGTAATAAACATTGCATTGGAGACCGCTCAGACGAGATTCACCAGCTTAATTCCAAAGATGAAAGGCTTGACTCAATGAGGAGAGGTTGAGCAGCTTATATCTTTACTCTCTAGAGTTCAGAAGAATGAGAGGAGATCTAGTTGAGGTATATAAGATGCTAAAGGTTTTTGACAAGGCAAGATGCTAAAGGTTTTTGTCATGGTAGCTGTGTAACCATGTGTGGGGCAATCTAGAGCTAGAGGTCTAGTTTTTAGAACAAGGGATGGCAGATTTAAACCAGAGATGAGGAAAAATTACTTTTCTCAAAGGGCTGTAAATCTGTGGAATTCACTCCCCCAGCGTGCATTGGATGTTTGGACACTGAATAAATTTAAGGAGGATGTAGACAGACTTTTTTTATTGGTAATGTGTTGAAAGGTTATAGGGAGTGGGCAGGAAAGAGAAGTTGAGGCTGAGATGAAGTTAGTTCTGATTGTATTAAATGGCAGAGCAGCCTGGAGGAGCTGAATTGCTCCTAGCTCTTTTATTACTTTGTACATTTGTTGGATCTTTCAATACCATGTTACCCATGTCTAGTTCTCCTGTTATAGGTACAAACGCCCTGCTGGAGTCAAAACCCACATCACACAGATAACTCTCAGTCGCACACACGCGTCAGTATAGAAATAAGCAGATAAAGCAGATCAATAATTGGCTAAGGAAGTGGTTTAGGAAGATCTTGGGCCCTAGATTCCTGGACATTGGGATAAGTTCTATGCGAGATGGGAGATGGACAGGCTGATGTGTTGCCTGGCACAAAGTTTCTTAAGGGAGAAACTGTTATTGGTGAGGATTTAAACAGACTCCGAGTCAGTACTGTCTAATTGGGCATGAACCTCAGGGTGTTGACTACAGAGTCCTCACAGGGTTTTGAGTTCAGCTACAACATTTCAATTATTCCCACAGAGTGATTGCAGACAGTACCCTTTACATTGCAGAGGAGGGATTTATAGAATTATACAGATGTACAACATGGAAACAGAACCTTCGGTCCAAATCATCCATGCCCACCAGATATCCTAAATTAATCTAGTCCCATTTGCCAGCATTTTGTCCATTTTCATCTAAACTCTTCCTATAAATATACCCATCCTGATGCCTTTTAAATGTTGTAATTGTACCAGCCTCCACCACTTTCTCTGGCAGCTCATTCCATTCACGCACCACCCTCTGTGTGAAAAAGTTGCCCCTTAGAACCCTTTTAAATATTTCCCATCTCACCTTAAACCTATGCCCTTTAGTTTTGGAATCTGCTACACTGGTGAAAAACCTTGTCAATTCACCCTATCCATCCCCCTAATGATTTTATAAGCCTCTATAAGATCACCCCTCAGCCTCTGATGCTCCAGGGAAAACAGCCCCAGCCTATTCAGCCTCTCCCTTTAGCTCAAACCCTCCAACCCTGGCAACATTCTTCTAAATCTTTTCTGAACTCTTTCAAATTTAACAACATCTTTCCTGTAGCAGGGAGATCAGAATTGCATGCGGTATTCCAAAAGTAGCCTAACCAATGTAGGGCTGCAACATGACCTCCCAACTCCTATACTCAATGCACTGACCAATAAAGACAAGTGTACTAAACGTCTACTTCAGTACCCTGTCTACCTGTGACTCCACTTTCAAGGAACTATGCACCTGCAGTCCAAGGTCTCTTTTGTTCAGCAACACTCCCTTGGACTTTACCATTAAATGTATAAGTCCTGCCCTGATTTGTCCCACCAAAATGTAGCACATTGACCTAGATTAAACTCCATCTGCCACTCCTTGGCCTATCAGCCCATCTGGTCAATGTCCCATTGTCCTCAGAGGTAACCTTCTTTGCTGTCTGCTATGCCACCAATTTAGGTTTCATCTGCAAATTTACTAACCATTCTACTGAGTCAGCCAGTTCAGCCAGGTCCCATTGAGTGGTGGCTATAACACAGGACACTAATGTAAACATACAATAAACAGTGAGTAAAAAAAAAATCATTTCTTCCACAATAACAAACTGTCTTTAACTCCATTGTAACCATCAATATGTGTGCCAACAATAAGACAGTTTCAGTGAATTATAGTAACAAATAAAGAGAAATTAATGTAATATAAATGTAGGCAAATGCCATTTAAATTTAAAGATACTCATGCTCCTTAATGCTCTCAACATGTTCTTATAACATAGTTAATAGTGTTAATATAGTTAGTAGTGGTCAAGGTGCAGTCTCCCTGTTTGTGCAGAAGGCTCTCTAACAGGCCACTCACACGTATTACATTGTCATGAATGAAAAGCTTCCACCCCACCCCTCCAATCCCGCAGCATCTCGTTGGCACTTAATTTTAACTTTAATGTGTGGGAAACAGCAAAAAGCAAAAGAACCTGACTGAGGTTTTTGAAGAGGTAACAAAGAAGATTGATGAAGGCAGAGCAGTAGATGTTGTCCATGTGGCCTTCAGCAAGGTGTTTGACAAGGTTCCACATGGTAATCTGGTTAGGGAGGTTAGATCACAGGGGATCCAAGGGGAGCTAGCCAATTGGAGACAGAGAGTCAGAATAGTGAGCAGGATGTGACCAACGGTGTCCCCCTGTGTTGCGGCTTTACTCTTTGATGTATTGATGTATTGGATGAAGGGATAGAACGCCACATGTCCAAATGTGGCAACGACTCAAACATTGGATGGTATTGTTCGCAGTGTGGATAGGAGCTTAAAACCACAAGGGGATACTGATAGAGTAAGGAAGTGGGCAAAACTGGCAACCATATTCAGTGTAAGCAAGTGTGAGGTCATTCAGACTTAACAATGCTAGATCAGAGAAGTTTCTGAATGGTGAAAGGTTAGAAACAATGGAGGCCCATAAAGTTACTGGGGTCCAGCTAAATAGATCAGGAAAGTGCCATGAATGGGTTTAGAAAATAATTAGAAAGGCTAATGGAATGACTACATATCTAAAGGAATAGCAAACATTTCAGCTACACAAATCCCAGCTGGAGTTACTGTAGGAAGTTGCGGTCACCATACCTCAGGAGTTGGTCTTGGCCTTAAAGGGAGAGCAGTTTTTACTCAAATGATAAGAAGACTTCAAAGGATCAAATTATGAGGAAAGGTTAAACAAGTTAGATTTGTATCCCCTGGAGTTTAGAAGGTTAAGTGCTCTTTCATTGAAGTCCTTAAGCTGTTAACAAATGGAGATAAGCTATTTCCAACACTGGGGGCTCTAGGACCAAGGAGCATCAAACCTTTCAGGAGTGAAACTGGGAAACACTTTCACCACAAAGAGTGGTGGGAGTTCTAGATTCACTGCCACAAAGAACAAACGATGAGAGATCAATGGCAAAGGTGAAATCTGAGATTGATAGTTCTTGTGAACCCTGTGTATTCAGGGGCATGTGCCAAAGGCAGGTACATGGAGTCAGGTCACAGGTTGTCCATGTTCAAATTGAAGGAGAAGACACATCTGAGGGACCATTTTTGATTCCTATGTCCCTAAAATCCCCATTCAACAAACTTCCAGTGGCTAAATGAGCTGGCAATTTTTAATTTTCCAATTCTGAGCTTCAGCTCTTCAAGGTAATGGGGCAGTCAGTGGCAGAAAACAAGACTGTCCTATTAGTTCAAAACACAAGTATTCTACAATAGAGTCAATCAGATATCAATTCTTGATCAGTGAGGTTTTGCCAAGGTTGATTTGATGTTGTCTTTGTCTTGTGTAACTCTTAAAACCAGTGGGTGTAGCATTCTGGCAGTTCAAATGTATTTCTAAAGTAGATCAACAAGTCATGCTGTCATTGTTGTGATGGTCGCACAGTCATTTCTCAACTTCATCTTTCTGGAATCATTGACACAGAATAAAAAACTTACATGAAAATCATAGATTTCAGAGAATCTCCTGTAGATAAGCTTTTCCGTCAAGTCACTCCATTTCACCATCAGCATGTAGACCTAAAACAGAAAGGAAATGGTCAGTTCTACAGGAAGGGGCACCTCATAACAGTTCTCTGCCCACTCACTAACTATTGCATTCACATTCTACGCTGATCCTACATGAAAGGACATGTCAAGTTTAAGATAGTAACTGCCTACAGTATACACTACTTAGTCCTCTACACTTACCACTGGCTAATTACATGGACACCCACTTTCTCACAATAGGCTCTGGGTTTTATTTCACACTTCATTGTGAAATAGAGGTAAACAACATATATCAAGACAGGCCACATGGAACCCACTGAATACTTGACTAACAGAAGGCCTTCTATTGGTCCAGTATATTTTCTTCATCATAACCTGCTATAATAACTGTCCAGCCTTTTTTAACTTTTGTCTCTTTTCTTTGAAGCCTGGACATCTTCCACCTGCTGATTCAGAGGTTGGTTAGTTTCCTCCAGGCCTTGTTCAAGCCTCTTCACTACAACATCATTGCCAGCATTTATTTCTGAAAGGACTATCTCATGAGAAGCTCCTCATTGTGTCCACGGTGTATCTCCACCTGATTTTCCTGGTGTGGCATTTGTTTCCAGCATTGCATTGAGCTTAAGCTGGTATTTCTGTAGCTGTCCCTTAAGGGCCAGATTTATTTTACGTGCAAAATCTTCCTTAAGCTTTTATTGGATCAATGACATAAAGCTTGTAGCCCATCCTGCTTCTTCTCTGTCTCTTCCTGTCCTTCATTCATCTTTTGAGCGAGCAGAGGTATCCCCTAGGCACCTGTCCTTGTATCAATCTTTGGTTGGAGACGAGGAGGGGATTCTATGGACAGGGAAGGGGGAGGGGGAGACAGTGATCAGGGAAGGGGAGAGTGGTTGGGAGGGGGAGGTGGAGACTGTAAGTTAGGGGGTCTAGTAGGGAAGTGGTGATTGTGGTTAGGGACAGGGAGGGGGAGAATGTGGTGGGGTAGGGGGAAGGGGAGGACGTGACTGTGGTGGGGGAAGGGGAGAATGTGGTTTGGGAGGGTGTGGAGGGGACGACTGTTGTCAGGGAGGGGGAGGGAGAGACGATGGTGGGAAAGGGGGAGGGAGGGAGATTTGTAAACCACTTTCACTAATGCAATGCTGTGGGCTTTTGGCTCAATAGGAGCATTTGGTCTTGGACTTGGATACAGGGTTCAATCCCGTCTCCAGGTTGTCACAGGAAGTGGAGACCGTCTCCTTTGAGCCCCAACACCAAATTCAGTTCTGAAGGAGGGTCACTGGACCCAAAACCTTAACTCTGCTTTCTCTCCACAGATGCTGCCTGACCTGCTGAGTTTTTCTAGCAATTTCTGATTTTGTTTCTGAATTCCACGCTGCAAGCAAGCAGGCCCCTTCATTTTTATGTAATACGAGAGCTGAGTACACGGACAGCCCAAAAATCATGAAGCAGGGATACATTACTGCGCTGACATTCAGTCACAATAAACATGAAGAGAAATTAAGGCTAAACAAGGATTTACATGGACTGAAGTCTGTTGAGGAATCCTTTGTCTAATCCTTCGTTCCCCATAAGCACCCCCCAAAGACACCCATTTTTCCCAAGAGATGGCCCATTTGGCTGTTCTAGCTGCCCTCCCATACCTAAGGAAGGACATTCTGATATTGGAGGCAGTACAAAAGAGATTCACTAAGCTAATTCCTGAGATGATGGGGTTCACTTTCAAGAACAGCTAACCAGATTAGGCCTTTGTTCATTCGAGTTTAGAAGAATGAGGGATGATCTTACTGAAACATACCAGGATTCTGAGGGGCTTGTCAGGCCGAATGTTGAGGAAATGTTTCTCCCAGTGATGGATATAGTTACAGAAGAAATGGACATTTATTTAAAACTGAGATGGGAAGGAATTTCTTCTCCCAAAGGGTAGTGATTGTCTGGAATTCTGTTCTCCAGAGAGCTGTGGAGGCTTGATCACTGGGTATTTAAAGATTTTTAAAATATAGGGGAGTTGAGGGTTATGAGGAGCTGGCACACAGAAGGAGTTGAGGCCTGGAGAAGTTCAGTCATGTTCTCATTGAATGGCCTACTCTTGCTGCTATTTCATATGTCCTTGTGCCTTACTGTCATTGAGTGCTGCTGGAGGCCTGGATACATTTATCTGATGGGTAGTGGAAGTCAACAAAATCCTCCTGTCATATTGGAAAAAATAATTCTGTTGGCGGCAGTAAGGATTGTTATATGCAGGGAAGGAGTGAGTGAAAAGTCACATGACACCAGGTTATAGCCCAAAGGGTTTATTTGAAATCACCAGCTTTCGGAGTACAGCCCCTTCATCAGGTGCACTGGACTGCAACCTGGTGTCATTAAACTTCTGACTTTGTCCACCTCAGTCCAACACCAGCACCTCCACACCACAGCAGGGAAGGAGTGTTTAGATTGTGGTGTATTAGACTGTTAATCAGGCTATAAGCCCTTTCACTAAATGTACAGCAATCTTCAGAGAAGAAGCACCACAGTAAAACAAACAAGCTAATAGAATTCTTTCTATTTAATAAACAGTATGAGTTCAGGCAGGAGTAAAATAAAATCTGAACCATGACTGGGATCAATTGCCTTGATAGCTAAGGGAGGAGATTAAACTTTGAGGAAATATGCAAAGAAGTTGTAGAAAATCTAAAGGGGAAAATATTGTAAAAGCACAGGAATGAGGATGTGGGAAGTAAAAAGCACATTGGAAATATGACAAAATAAGCTCAAACTAACAGATGCAGGGAGGTTAAGAGCCAAAAATGAGGAACTGAGGTCAGCAAGAGAATTAGAAAGTGAAATATCTGTAACTGAGCGAGAAACTAGGTCCACAGAAACTGCTGAAGATATAGCCGAGAGGAAGGATGATGTTTGGTTTGCGTAGATTTTTAAAAAATATCAGATGAGTTCTTTGCAGGAGAATTAAGGCAAAGATAATATCTTGTGGAAGTGGAGGAAGGCTGAACACATGGACAGGGAGATGGGCAGACAGCAGGAACATGGGAATAGGAGTCAGCCGTTCAGCTCCGCAAACCTATTCCATCATTCAATGAGATCAATAAGATCATTGCTTAACTCCCTGTGTCTGCCTTGGGCCCCTATCCCTTCATATCCTTGATTAATAAAAAACTATCTATCTATCTCCAGATTTAAATATAACAATAGAATTAGCATGGAGCGCCATTTGAGGAAGAGAGTTCCAAACCTCCACTACCCTTTGCACGTATAAGTGCTTTCTAACATCTCTCATGAATGGCGTGGCCCTAATTCTTAGACTATGTCCTTGATTATAGAATCTTCAACCAGTGGAAATAGTTTAACTTTATCTACCCTGTCTTTTCCTGTTAATATCCTGAAGACCTCAATTAGATCATTCCCTAACCTTCTAAAATTCTAGTGAATAAATATCTAATTTGTCTAAGCCTTCCTCATAACTTAACTTCTGTAGTCCAGGTGTCATCAGCAAATTTGGATACTTGACTTTTTGCACCATTATCCAAGTCATTAATAAATATTGTGAATAATTGAAGCCCCAACACAGTTTCCTACAGGACATCACTAATCATTTCCTACCAACTGAATACTGATCTAGGTGGAAGAATTGAGGAAACACCTCAATATATGTGGCTGACAGCAAAACTAGTCTCTGGTATATTGTCATGATGTTTGCCAGAGTTCAGGGATATAGACAGATGAACAGAATGGCCAGATAGGTAGACAGCCCCAGATAGAACTGTGTGATATCATCTACTTTGAAGATAATAGTTGGAAAGAAAATTGACCTTCATTTGTGTGTCTTTAAAATGGAGTAGAAGCTAGAGCGCACTTGGTATGATATCAAAGGAGTCACTAAATGATATATTTGAAAAGGCAAGGACTGATTGGGGATAGTCAATGTGGCTTTGTGAGTGGGAAATCACGTCTCACTAACTTGACTGAGGTTTTTGAAGTAACAAAGAGGATTGGTGAAGGCAGAGCGGTGGATGTGATCTGTCTGGACTTCAGTAAGGCATTTAACAAGGTTCCACATGGTAGACTGGTTAGCAAGGTTAGATCACATGGAATACAGGGAGAACTAGCCATTTTGAGACTAGTCATTTAGATCAGGTTTGAAGATAGGAGGCAGAGGGTAGTAGTGGAGGTCTATGACCAGCGGTATGTCATAAGGATTGTTGCTGGGTCTACTGCTTTTTGTCATTTATGTAATGATTTGGATGTGAACATAGGACGTATGGTTGGTAAGTTGGCCAATGACATACAATTGGTGGCGTAGTGGACAGCGAAGAAGGTTACCTCAGAATACAACGGGATCTTGATCAGATGAGCCAATGGGCCAAAGAGTAGCGGATGGAGTTTAATTTAGAGAAATGTGAGGTGCTGCATTTTGGAAAGGCAAATCAGGGCAGGACTTATACACTTAATGGTAAGGTCCTGAGAGTGTTGCTCAACAAAGAGACCTTGGAGTGCAGGTTCATTGTTCCTTGAAAGTGGAGTTGCAGGTAGACAGGATATGAAGAAGGCATTTGGTATGCTTGCCTTTATTGGTCAGTGCATTGAGTATAGGAGTTGGGAGGTCATGTGCAGCTGGTTAGGCCACTTTTGGAATACAGTGTTCAATTCTGGTCTCCCTGCTACAGGAAGAATGTTATGAAACGTGAAAGGGATCAGAAAAGATTTACAAGAATGTTGCCAGGGTTGGAGGGTTTGTGCTATAGGGAGAGGCTGAATAGGTTGGGGCTGTTTTTCTTGGAGTATCAGAGGTTGAGGGGTGACTTTATAGAAGTTTATAAATCATGGGGGGCAGAGATAGGGTGAATAGCTAAGGTCTTTCACCCAGGGGAGCGGAGACCAAAACTAGAGGGCATAGGTTTAAGGTGTCAAGGGAAAGATTTAAAAGGGACCTAAGGCGCAACTTTTTCACACAGAGGGTGGTGCGTATATGGAACAAACTGCCAGAGGAAGTGGTGGAGGCCGCTACAATTACAACATTTAAAAGGCATCTGGATGGGTATATGGATAGGAAGGGTTTAGAGGGATACGGGCCAAATGTTGCCAAATGGGACTAGATTAATTTAGGATATTGGGTCAGCATGGATGACTTGGACCGAAGGGTCTGTTTCCATGCTGTACATCTCTATGACTCTGTGACTCTATGACTAAAGGCATCAATGTAAATAGGTAAGGCCAGACAAATGCCAGGTAATGACCATCTCCAACAAGACAGAATTTAATGATTGCCCTTTGACACAGTGGTATTACCTCAGATGAATACCCCACTACCAACATCCTGGGGGTAACCACTCACCAGAAACTGAATTGGACTTGCCAGACAAACACAGTGGCTACAAGAGCAGGTCAGAGGCTAGGAATACTGTGGCGAGTAACTCATTTTGTGACTCCCCAAAGCCTGGCCACCATTTGCAAGGCTCAAGTCAGGAGTGTAATGGAATGCTCCCCACTCGTCTGGATGGGCGCCGCTCCAACAACACTTGAGAAGCTTAACACCATCCAGGACATAGCAGTCTGTTTGACTGGCATTGCATCCACAAATTATCAGTCCCTTCTCACAACACACAGTGGCAATAATAAATCATCTATGACATTCACTCCAATAATTCAGCAAGGCTCCTCTGACATCATCTCCCAAGTCCATGATCACTATCATCTGGAAGGACAAGGGCAGCACATCCCATGAATGAATAAAAAACACAAGGCTACAATGCAAATTCAGTGGCACATTGTTTGACCTATTTTTCTAATCAACCTTTTCAGACATGTTATTATGCATCCCTGGGAGCAGGTGGGATTTGAACCAAAACCACCTTAACCATGGGTAGGGGAACTACTAACGCACCAGAAGAGGGCCCCTCTTGAATTCAAATTTCACCATTTGCAGTGGCAGGATTCAAAGCTGGGACCCAGAACGTTATCTGGGTCTCTGCATTAATAGTCTCGTAAAACTATCACTGCACCATCGCCTTCCCTCCAAGTTAAGACTTTACAGTGGAATTGAAATGGTTAACAGAGATACTGGTTTATGAATCATTTACAAGATAAATAGTTATTGGCCATTTCCGCAAGTCAGTGAAATTGCAAAGACATAAATTCAATATATTTCCCCAAAGGAATTAGTTAGGGGATTAGAAACATTTCTTTATTGAAAGAGTGGTTTGAATTTCCAACTAAGTTCAAGCTAACCAGTTTAGGAATGAAATCAGGAAGTAATTTTCCGCATCAAAGGAACCGGAAGTACACAGCACTCTTGCCGATTTGCCATTTCCACAAGTAAGATCAGTAGATTTTTGTCAATAAAGCTAAATGGTATTGAGGTGGATTATTGAATAGTTTCTTCCCCTTGTGTCTAACTTTCTCAAACAAAACAGCACCACTGGAACAGAAACTATCAATATTTATAAGAAAGTAGATTGATTCTTCAAATAGAATACTAATGGGTGTGGCAAGGAGTAGGAGAATGGAATTGGACCGGGTGAGATGTTAAAGCATGTAGTGTGGGAGCAGGCAAGTGAGATATTAAAGGGCATGGGCAGTGATAGGGAGAGTGGGACTAGGGTGTTTGGGATATTAAAAGGTGCAGGGAGTGAGGGGGAGAGAGGGATTAGGCTGGGTGGGATATTAAAGGGCATGGGCAGTGATAGAGAGAGTGGGACTAGGCTGTGTGGTATATTAAAGGGTGCAGGGATTGAGGGCGAGAGTGGGATTAGACTGGGTGGGGTGTTGTAGAGTGCGTGAGTGAGGTGGAGGGGGAATTAGCCTAGGTGGGATATTAAAGGGCATGGACAGTGAGGGATTAGATTACTGGGTCAGAAGGAAGACAAATACAGTTATAAAATTGATAAGCCATTTCACATTTTCGCTGCTATAATCTTCAAGTATACAAGAAACAAGATATTACTTAAGAATGTGTTGAATATATAAATGTTTTTATTACATTTATTTCCAAATGCTCTGTAATCACACTCTAATTCTTTCCTCTTTCTCAAGAATGCTACAAATGAGTTGCCTTGGCAGCCACCAGTGATTACTATCTTTAAAAAACTTTGTCTTGGGTTTGAACCTAGGAACAGATTTGATCCTGACAAATATCAGTCATGTTCACATTTGTAATTAACCTGTTTAATTGGATAATTGCTGAATGCTGCAGCAGGCAGTCTCTCAGAGCTTGTCAGCATATCGACTGCTCATCATAAACATATTGCTGATTTCCAACTTTCTAGTTTTCCTGGAATACCCAATGAATTCAGCACCAAATGATCTGATTAATTATGAAAGCAAAACTAAGACTGACGAGCTAATGCAGGAATATTGAAATGACACTGCTACTCACGTAATGTTGGTTTGGGACAAATCTTTTCTCAAACCCTAGCACCTCGATGTGTCTGATGTAAATCCCCTCCATTTTAGGTTCATAATAAAGTTGTCAATCTTCTCCAAAGGGTTGTGAAGGTGGCTTTCACTCTGCAGACTACACGCTGAGCTGTTGCCTGGTGTTCTCCTGAACCTGACCGATCAGTTAGTTTGCCTTCCTCGCCCCTTTTCTCCCTCACTTCTCACTTCCAGTTTGCATTTATTGTCTTAACTAATCTTAGATTTTTTTTCCAACAGGTGGCAGCGCTCTATGAACTGCCTCAGTGACTCAGAGAATTGCTCCCTGCAGCATTTACTGGCAATGTTCTAGAGAAGTGAAAATAGATATAATTAGATTCTGGTTACATGAAGCAAAAATTTAGCAAATCTATTTTGCCTATTCATTTACTGTGAAAAGCTATCTGTTAATGGATATTGAGCTTAGGCCAGGACTCTGGTTACCAACTTTGGGAAGAGAGTCTCCAGCTCTACCCGAAATAACTGCACAGAGGCTGCTTTCCCATCACCAAATCACCTTTTATTTATAGGTGGAGAGACCTTGAAACTGATCCATCTCCCTCACAGCCAGCTCTCAGAATCAACAGGGTGCCTGACACATTTTTTAATTTAACCTGTTTTTCCTTATCAACCTGTTCAGAGATTTTTTTTACACCTCTGATGGGACTTGGGCCCAAGTCTCTCAGTCCAGAGTGTAAAGATACTACTGCTGTGCCAAAAGAGTATCCCTGTCTGACATTCCTTATCTGTCAGCCAGAGCTCCCTGATTGGACCAGATTAACAGCCCCAATCAGGGAATCTGTATTCTGTGAGGTCCACCTGCCTGACCTCGTTACAATTACTATACTGCCCACTCTGAGTGATGTTTTTGGCCTCACTGGGTGACAGAATCTTGTGAAGCCCGCCTGAAACAAATGCTAAACCAAACATGATTGTTGAGAGGTCAGGAGTCACACCAGGAGGGTCAATAGTAAGCTCCTGAGAATCAAGGAATGAATTGAGAGGAAGGCAGAAAAGACACCTACCCAATGGAGAGATGAAAGTTGATTTGTAACAACGGATTGAGGACATATTATGTGCCATGATGGAAAACAGTGGGAAGTTGATGGCCTCGAGGTGTTATTACTAAACTATCCATCCAGACACCCAGGCAATGTTCTGGGGACCTGGTTTGAAATCTGCCATGGCAGATGATGGAATTTGAATTCAATAAAAATCTGGAATTAAGAGTCTAATGCTGACCATGAAACCATTGTCAATTGTTAGAAATCTCATCTAGTTCACTAATGTCCTTTAGGTAAGAAAATTCCTGGTCTTGCCTACATGTGACTCCAGACCCACAGCAATGACTGCCCTCTGGGCAATTAGGGATGGACAATAAATCCAGGCTCAGCCAGCAATGTCCACATCACGAGAATGAATAAAAAACATTTCTACAAATGCATGATTGTGGTGAGGTCATGGGTTACATCAGGAAGATCAGGAAGTCCTGAGAATTGAGGCTAACTGAATGAACACTATTGAATTTCCAGAGAATCCTACCATTTACTGAAAAAAGTACTCCAGAAATTTTAGAGAAAAAAAAGTGGAATGGGCAGAACTCAGAGAAATGAAATGAGTACACTGGCTGGCTCTTTCAACAAGCTGCCACAGGTATTCTGTCATGAAAGAGTGGCTACACAAGGGGTATTTTCCATTATTGTGGACAACACAATTGAGCAATGTTGTGAATGAATTTCAGTGCCAGTGTGATGCCAGGTACATAGTCCAAACTTCACAGCGATTGGCTGATCAAATCGAATAGCGTGTACTACATTGTCATCAAAACTAATACATGCTCGAAAAACATTAAATCTCTCCTATTCAATGTGACTCCACAATTGGCAACACCTACTGAACAATCCTGAGTGGAACAATAATTTGTAAGCTTCCTATAGGTGACATAGATTTATACACAGGGGTTCATTCAATTTAAACAAATACAAATATAAATACTGTTTGAATTATCCTGAAACACGGAGAGCCTACAATTCTCCATTCCTTTATCCACATCAATGTGTCAGCCAATTGGACCTAACTAACCAAACAATTTGGCATTCTTGAACATGACCTGTTGAGTTCAAGGCTAAAATCTTCAGCAACACAACTTTTTGCTGCATTTTTCAAGAATCCCTTTACATTCAGCGATGTAAGAGCTGGCCTGCACACGGCTCTTTAGTGAGCCCAACACTGAAAGGTTTCACAGTGGGACAACAATAGGACATGCAAAATCTACATACGCTTTTTGACCTATTACACAACACCTCGGGCTCCTTTTCTCAGCTTCGTGCACATCCGTCTACATTCCAACATTTTGTACTTTAATCTTGGGAAGTTATTTTGATTGGGAGTCCATTTTTGGCCCATTTACATGTCAAATGTAAATTGGCATTTTCCATTGACTTTAAGAACTTAGAAAAGATTGCTAAACAACAAGCAAACCAACAGAAGGTTACACAGTCACAGCAAGACCAACTATTACATAGACTGTAAGAGGAATAGAAACTTGTAAATCACCTTACTTACCACAAAAAAACAAAATGGAAAGACTTGTAAAAAATATGTTGGGGGTGGATTCATTCAGATACTCAAACACACAAATTAGGAGCTGGAGTAGGCCATTCGACCTTATGAGCCTGCTCCACCACTCAATATAACTGTGGCTGATTTGATCTTCAGATTCTCATTTACTCCTGATAACTTTTGACCCCATCGTAACTCGAGAAAATATAATGACCCTGTCCCCACCCCTTTGTGAGAAAAATAATTTCGAAGTCTCATGGTCTTCAGAGAAAAAATCCTCAATTCCATCTTAAAAAGGAGAGTCCTCATTCTTAAACTGTGTCCCTAAATTCTAGCTTCTACAAGAGGGAACGTCCTTTCAGCATCCACCCTATCAAGTCTCCTCAGAATCTTATAACTTTCAATAAGGTCACCTCTTATTCTTCCAAACTCCAACAGATAAAGCCCCAACCTGTCCAACTTTCCTCATAAGATAACTACCCCTAATCAAGGTATTGAGTGAACATCTTTAAATTACTTTTGACACATCCAGAAACAGAAGACATTGAAAATTAGAGCAGGGGTAGGCTATTCAACTCTTTGGGTCTGCTCCACCATTGATATGATCATGGTTGGTCATCCTGTTCCTGTTTTCTCCTCCTCATTTAACACTAAGAACAATATCCAACACCTTCTTGAAAATGTTCAGTGTTTTGGCCTCAATTGCTTTTGTTGCAGAGTATTCCACAGGCATGACATCCTTTCTTAAATAAAGAAACCAGGACTGTAAACTGTAAACGCTCTATCAAAAATGCAAAACATCCCTACTTTTATTTACCATCCCCCTTGCAATAACATCAATGTCCTATTTGTTTTCCTAATCACTAGCTGCACCTGCAGACTAATGTTATGTGAATAACATAGATCTATCTGTACCTCAGCATTCTGCAAGATGGTACCATCAACAGTGTTGGACTCTCTCAATATTGCAATGGAGTGCTGGCAAAGTCTTCTGTGTCTGCTTTCAGGGGTGGAAATTTAGGGGTTATTTTGAAAGTAGTTATGGAGATGGGCCTAAAATTGAGCAGGACTTCTACTTTAAGGTGGCAAAGTGCCTCAGTGGTTAGCACTGCTGCCTCACAGTGCCAGGGACCCAGGTTCAATTCCAGCCTTGGGTGACTGTCTGTGTGAAGTTTGTGTGTTCACCTCATGTGTGTGAGTTTTCTCTGGGTGCCCTGGTTTCCTCCCACAGTCCAAAGATGTGTAGGTTAGGTGGATTGGCTGTGCTAAATTACCCATAGTGTCCATGGATGTGTAGGTTAAGTGGATTAGCCATGGGAAATACAGGGATAGGTTAGGTGGGTGAGTCTGGGTTAAATGTTCTTCAGAGAGCTGGTGTGGACTCATTGGGCTGAATGGCCTGTTTCTGCACTGTGGGGTTTCTATAATTCTACCTGGGAGTGGGTTGGGTTTACAAGCGCCATTAGGTTTTCATGATATGCATGTGCAGATAAAATGCCAAAGGTTCTGTCCTCCCTACAACCTCTCCCACCCGACCCCAGTGGGACTTTCTGGGCTCAGACATCAGGCTCTATTTTAAAGGCCTCCAGGCAGAACTTCACTCTTTACAACCTCAGAGCATCACTCAATCTCTGATCATCACCAACCCAGCCCCAGAGCTGTCAGAAAGTAGGCACAAAGGAGTGCCACTCATTAACAATGTCTCCCTAGAGGTTCCCCTGAGGGCTGACCAAGCCAGAGGCCATCCTGACAGACAGATAAGCCTGGTAGAGGCTGCTACGGAGGTCAACGCTTGTGGGCACCTCAAGAGAACCTGGCTCTGGTACCACAAATGGATGAATGATCTGCTGTGTTCTACCAGGGTATGTAATACTTTCTGCTCAATGCCTCATGCCCCTCTCTGAGCTGGCATTGTAAGGTTCCCATTGCAGAGGGCTGTCACACAGGAGGTACGGTACGAGGCATCTCCATCAGATACTCATCTGCAATCGATGTCTGCAGTGACCAATGTAGCTCTGTTGGCGTCACAGTGGCACTGCCATCCATAACTGCCAAGGTTCACACTTCAAATAGAAAAGGAGCTGCAGCACTTGAGAGCCCCTGCGCTATCAGCTTGGTGACCTTTGATCACAACCTATAGAGTGCACGCATCTCAGAGCTTTCCAACAAAGGTTTGCACAGGGCAACTGTGAGTTGTGCCTGTTTGCTTGCCCAGGTCATGACTGCTGCCATCAGCCTGTGAGCTTGCTTAATGTGGGGCAAGTTTGCTGTTCCCGTCAGGTTCCATCCCTAACACTATAAATGGTTGTACAAAGAAACACTAAAATGAAACAAAGAACTGCAGATGCTGGAGATCTGAAACAAAAACACAAACTGCTAGAGGAAGTCAGCAGGTCTGGCAACATCTGTGGGAAAGAAAGTGGAGTTAATGAGTTTCAAGTCCAGTGACTATTCATCAGAAATGATGAGGCTGTGGAAGTTGAGTTGGAACTGGGCGAAAGGGCCTTTTCTTTTATTCATTAACAGGATGAGGGTGTCGCTGGCCAGGCAGCATTTATTGCCCATCCCTAATTGCCCAGAGGGCAGTTAAGAGTTAACCACAATGCTGTGGGTCTGGAGTCACATGTAGGCCAGACCAGGTAAGGACAGCAGTTTCCTTCCG